GCTCAAGGCAGGATTCGCCGTTATGTGGCTCAGGCACGAAACATAACCGTGCCAGATTGGGCCACGCTGCCGACTAGCCAACAGCCCGAAACAGCTGAACAGCTCACTAATGAAGTCAATGAGCTTAAAGCACAAATTTTTACTATTCTGAGTCAGCTTATTGAAGAAAATACTGATTAGCAGAACATTATTGCGGGTCTCTGTGGAGCGCAGAAAGATGAAGAGCAGACCTTATACCACGAAATGTCACAGAAACCCGAAAATCTTCTTACCGAAATCGACGCCACCAATGAACAATTGGCGCATTTACGATTTTCACGCGAGCGATTACAACAGCGGGCGTACCGGCACAACAATCAATCTTCTGCTCAGACTCAAGCAACCTCCCCAGCAATAACTCCACAAGCACAACTAGCAGTTAACGAAACAGTCGAACAACAGCCGACTCCAATCTTTAGTCAGTTTCCATATCCAAGCTTGCAGAATTCCGACGTAAATCCATTAAAACTGCCGCAATTTTTGGGCAACTTAAAGGACTGGCCAGCCTATTGGAGTACCTTCCAGGAACTAATTCACAGCACTACGATGTTTGATATCAGGAAGCTATGCTATTTCTGTGAGACCTTATCAGGTCCCCCTAACATTCTGGTTTCCAATTTCGCTAAACGACCTGAGAATTACATAGCGGCTATCAAATTATTGAACAATACATACGAGCACGAACATGTCATCCGAGCCCTCCTGCACCGGGACCTTCAAACTATCTCCCCGATTACATACGAAAACGACTTGCCGCAATTATTGTGCACGTTGGAATCAGTTTTTCGCAAACTAATAACACTGGGGAACGGTATAAATCATTCCAATATTGTAGCAGCAATCAAGGCGAAGCTGCCTTTTAGAACCTTACAACAAAGGTGCAGAGCAAAGCGACAAAACCCGCAGTGGTCTTTCTCTCACCTTTGCCAACTCATCAAGGAAACCGTTGCGGATAGACACCAAGCACGAGCAATAACTACCTTGGTTACTATATATAAAGCTTTTTCCGGAACACGCAATTTGGTAGCGACAACCGCTAGACCGCCACAACAGAAGACGACAAAACCTTCTCTCAAACAAGTTCCGACTACTAAGTGTGCATTTTGTGAAGGTCGTCACTACAACGATCAGTGTCCGGTATATAAGTCTACCGATGAGCGGCACACACGTGCCACTCAGAAGCGACTCTGCATTCACTGCTTGAGACCAGGCCACTTTACTAAAACCTGCAAATCTCGACTTAAACGTGCTTTAACTGCAAAGGTAATCATCCCGCAGTATTATGTACTAAGAAGACTACGGCGACTCCGGCGACATCAGTAACGACAATGAGTACGCAAATTTTGCC